CAGCACTCCTCGGAACGGTGCTTCACGTCAGCCAAGTTCAGACTGTCTCAAGGTGCGGGCTGGAGCGGGATCTAGCACCCAGGTAGTGTCCCAACTCAGGCTTGAAACAAGTTACCTTTGGAGAAGCAGCAGGACGCAGAAGTTTCCTTTGGAGAAACACCATCTCTGACTACGGAGAAAGCTGAGGCAGCCTCATGCTCATTGTCAAGTATTTGGCATCCTTCTAGGGCAGATGTTCAGAAGGTTCGTAAATGATGTACCCTCCTCTGTTTCAGCAGGTCATGGAAACCAGATCCTTGTGGTTAAGTAAAAATAACTTCACGTGGAGCTTGCACTCTGCTGCTCTTTGTGTTAGTGAATCCAAGGATGGGGCCCGGTGTCCAAAGGTGGGAAGTGTCACGGTGTTACGGACAACGTTTCTTACAAAAAGGTCAGGTAGGAGATGTGAATTCCACGTTTCAGATATTGCAGAAGATACTGAAACATGGCATCTGTGTCACCTGGGACTGCAAAGTGCTTTCAGATGATCGTCTCTTCCTCCGCGTCACATGACAGCACAGCTGGGATCCTCGTGTTGCTGCAGGAGTCGAACATGAAGACACAGCGGTAGTGAGCACGTGTGCAAACGGAGATTTATTGCTGCTTACCGATCCTCACATAAGCATGGGGGGTTTTAGCTTTTGGAGCTCTAGTTACTTATTAAACAAAGCAAAGCAGGTTTGAGAGGCAGTCCCGTAACTGTTTGGGGGTGGGGGAAAACACGAGCTTCTAAGGATTCCAGGCCATGCAATAGGTGAGCCTATGCCTTCCGCAAGGCTCTTGAGCCATCGATAGGTACCCCAGCTCAACAGGCATGCAGTCCCACGCGACCCCAGTTCGGATGGTAACAGCGGAAGCAAATGTCATGGCAACCCTGCCTCCCTTCAGAACATGACATGCCTCCTTGGCATCACTCCACGGCATGCAAGAGGTGAGGGGGGCTTTCAGCCGGCTGCCGTTACTCCCCGGCGGCCGACGCAGCAGAAGCATGCGGGTCCTGCTGACAGCAGTGAGACAGCAGGTCAGCCAGTGACACTAATGACACCTGAGTCGGAGTATTAGGATCGATTCTTCCCATAAAGGGCACACAACTGTATTGTAAAGTTGCTGATAAAACAGATCAGAGGTGTAAGGAAAGAGTTACTTTTGCTTTTGTCATTAAGGCTCCATATTTAACTGGCAGTAATAGGGCTTGCTCAGCAACCCACCACCACCCGAGAGAGGCCCTGCTCTGGGCAGGAAAAGCAGCCTCTGTCAGTCAGTCCCTCTACGACCCCGAGGCTTCCAGGGGTCTTCCTTCAGCCACGTCCGCGTGTGCGGTGCTGAGCCCAAGGGCCAGAACGGCATCTCAGAGCCTCCCTCAACAGCCCATCTAAGGGGGTCTCACCTCTTCAGCCAGAGACTGCAAACACTACAGGAACGTGCACACGCGTCAGGAGACCCTGATAAACATCCCTTAAGCCAGATGGCGTTATAGCAAGAGGCATTCCCCCAGATTTTCTGGTTGAAAGAAGGAAAAGAACCAAGCAGCAGGCAGTAACTGCCTCTTCTTCAGAAAGTCAGTGCTAAGGTACTTAAGTTTTCAGACACGTATATTACGAAAACATCTAGGAAGCAGTGGTGGCTTGAGGACCTGGTGCAGGAAGCTGCAAGTCCTCCTTGTAGCTGCGCAGGATCAGTTTTAGGAAGAGCTGTGGTAGCTCGGCACACTGTGTCAGCAGGAGAGAGAGAAGGAATTTGGTGCTAGGCATCTCCCTTGCGCTTAGGGCCTCGGAGTTGTACTGGCAAAGGGGACTTGGTGCTCTCTGGAGTCAAGAAACAAACTCGAGGGTCAATATAGCCTGTAATTGTTCAGTTATGACCAATTTTAAAGCCTTTGTATTTGTTCTGGTTTAGACTACTTCAGCAATTAAAGATACCTGACGGCCAGCATATCAGAGTGCACCAGGAGTGTCCAGTGGGCACAAGCTCAGACTGGTAATACGGTCAGTCAACAGCCACGTGGAGAGGCAAGAGCCTTTCACAGGGCATTACAACATGCAAGTCATAACCAAAGGGTTACGTATATTCAAGGCAAAACATGCTTATTCTATTTAACGATGTTAATTGCACTAGCATGACCCGCATCTGTGCTGAAGTTCCACTCGGAAAGCATTGAAGGGAGTATTTCTGACTGAAGCAAGGCTGAGCTACCCAGGAGGAAAGAGTAGTTCCTGGAAATGCACTTAACAGAAGTGTCTCAAACTCCTGTTTGAATTTCTGAGGGACTTAGGCAATGAGTACACCAAGAACCTGGATTTCAGCTTTTTAATACTTTTGAATGGAAATACTAGGTTTCTTCAGTGTGAAGTTCTCTTAAGAGTAAGTCAGGGATACTGTTTGGAGTGTAAGTCACCTCATCCCACAGAAATAAGGTATTTCTGGTTATCATTTGCATTCTGTTCTTGGGGTAACGACTTCAGTGTGTTCACAGTCAGATGTTTAAGTGGAAGAGACATTAAAGCTCCAGTTTTTCACTGCGCCAGTAGTAAGAGACCAAACAACTAATGCTACTGTTTAATCACAATCAGCCAGAGAGTTTCCGATGCAAAGCCATGCAAGCTACATGCACCGTGGAACAAGAGACTGCAGCACTACTGCTGAAGCAAGTTTTCTATGAGATGACAAGCACGATTCTCACCACCTCACCTGCTTCAGGATGCTCACAGGAACCACTATCATGAAACCAAACAACATTTCTTTTTTCTTCTTCTTTTGGTCTGACATCAAGAAAAATGTTAAGAGTTGTAGGACAGTATTTGGGGAAGTATTTTCATACAGTAATGAAAAGAAGTGGCCACTTAATGTCTCTTGATAGTATTTCTTTAAATTTCAGGCAGCTTACCTGAGATGGAAACTCTATTTCACTTCCAGTTATCTCTTCATAGTCATCATCTTGCTCGCTGCTGCTTTCTTCCCTGAACACCTGCGTCATCTTCCTCTCCGCGAGTTCCTAGAATACAATTGAATTGCCACCAAGAACCTTCATCAATTAGGCACCTCAAACAAGTTTCGTATGAGCAGTAGAAGGCATTTACTATCTCACTTACCTCACCGTCATTCGTGATGAGTGTAACGCCAATATTATCCCCAGATCCCCAAGACTTCTGGGACTTCCAGACCAGATCACTAGGACCTGGGCTTACACCAGCAGCTGCTCCCCAGATCTGCAACAGATTTAGAGTGAGCTTCTGAAGAATCTCATTTGTAGTTAGATCAGGATTCAGCCTAACATAACTATTAACTACTGCACATTCAGTGCTGGAGTAACAGAAACTACTGTGAGCCCTGGCCACTTAGTTCTTTTCAGGGCTACCAAGAATGGTGGTGGTTTTTTTACTGAAGACTGTAGAAGAGTTGCAGAAGAGGCTGTTAACAGCTTCCACCTGATGCAGAGGTAGCCCTTGCTTGCACACGAGGACCACTTGAGTGGCAGAGCCAAGCCACAGTTGCAGACATACTCAGGGCAGCAGATTGTGTATACAAGATAGCCTCCAGCCCACGGTCACTCACAGATCTCTTGAGCAAGCTTGTACAGAGTTTGGAGTACAGAGCGTAGAGTTAGGCTCTTCAGTCACTATCTAAATGTACTTAAAGTACAATTTTAGAGTATTTAGCTTAGTACCATAAACCGTGAGCTCAGCGTTGCCAAACCGTAGCAGACTAAAGCGTTTAGCAACAGGGTAAGCCTTTGCACAACTTTTATCAAGCCACAGAGGTATGGGGCACCCTAAGAATGAGCTAGAATATATTGATTCTGTACATAACAGCAGCACATCCCAATCCGGGATGATCGAGGTTCAATCCAAGATCCAGCTTTAAAGAAAGTTTAATTGGCATTTCAGGTCACGTTGCTGCAAGAATTTTCCCTATCTCCCTCCCCACATAAAATAAGGATTATTTTAGGCACTTAACAGTACCGAGTTTTCCTTAGTACATGAACCTCTGCTGCTGTCTAACACACACACAGAGCTCTGAGGAAGTTTTACAAAACCACTACCTACCGTAACTACTTGGCCTGCCTGAAGGGTGAACCGCGCAGGAAACTTGTATGTTACGTCTGACACGGTCCCAAGATGTCGCCTTAACGACCAGCCATGTAGCGTTTGATCCTGTGGGACAAGAAACGTCTCTCAGCATCACAGACTAACACCGTGTCACACAAGGCTCTTCCCAGGCTCAAGGGTCAGTTTTAGTCCCACTCCTGTACCGTACCAAGAATCAGATGAATTTTGAGGAAGCCTTCAAGTTTTCATTAAAGCCTCCCTAGGATTTCTCCCTGTAAAATTAATCTTAGTCCCATAAGTTTAGGCACACCTATTCTTGCCTTTTGTTGAAGGGGGAATCATGATGCTCTACTACCAGGGAGGTCCTGGTAAACTGAGTTTATCACACCCAGCTACCACCTTGGGATACATCTATATACATCTCACGTACAAGGTGGCCTGTGAAGGTTTAAGGCACCTCAGGCTGAAGTGGCTATGCTACCAGCCTCAAGTTTTGAAGATCTGAGGATTAACTCTAATAATTCTGGATTTGCAGACTAAACTAGTCAAGGAATTAACCAACTGGTCAGATCAACACTCTGCATGGATTAGATACTGTCAGCTCTATCCAACCTTTAGGCCATTTTAAACATTTTTAAGCAGTAAGGAGCTCTCATTATCCAATTTACTAAGCACCTTCAGTCTGTTGAGGACAAGTAGTACTTCCAACAGCGCTACACGCCAGTTGACGGCAGCCATACTTTGCAAGGAAAGGAACGAACCGAAGTACCTCGTCAGAGTTGTTTTTAAGCCTGACAAACTTCCCATCAGCATCGATCTCTTCAATAGATACATTTCCAGAAGATGATGCGTGCTGAACAGTCTTAAACCCAGCACTATGCCCTCTCTTTTTGGTTTCTTTCATTTTCCTTTTCTTCCCGTACAGGAACCGTCGCCCTTGACTTGTTGCCTGAGCTGCAGTGCTGTGCAGAGATGGACTGGGCGACAGCATTAGCCTAGAAGACAGTTGGATAACGCTCACGTGAATATCTGATGTGCTTATTTCTCCTTGCTCCTTTGCTCCCACTAGAGCCAAGCTTAACAGCTTCTTACAGCCAAGCTTTCCATGAAGTCTTGAATATAAGATTTCATTTTTACTGGCAAGAGTAGCTAAGTAGCACATTAAGTCTGGAGACAGCCCTAGCCCTAGAGTTCAGAGCAAGCTTATGTCGATAAGAAAGGATTCCCAACTGCAGTAAGTATTCCTTTAAAGCCTCCAGCGACACACACTTCAGTGGAAGCAGCTGAAGTTTTTGACCCTTCTTAGCATGTACAGAGAGTTCAGATTCACACCAGGCAGTGCCTGGATAGTTGGGAATTGATAGGATTTCCCAGCTTCCTTCATGAAGCTACAGCACTGTCTTTGATACATCTCTAGGAAGCTGAGGGATGTCTAACAGACCCTTGAACTTCATCAGTTGGGTTTCTCAAGTTACTTCATCCTACCACACCATGTGGTGAATATGGGATATAAATACCATCTACCAAAGACTGTGCTTCAAGAGGTTACAGCACTAACAACATAACTTCATACTGATTTCTCGCCTGCTCCACGTTCTGAGGAATACATGGTTGGTTAGTGCAGAGATCCTGGGTGAAGCAAGATCTCATATGAAGGTCTTGTCATAGCCTACCTCTGTTCCTCTCCTTCCAGCATCTTTCTGTAGGCATTTATTTCCAGATCCAGAGCCAGTTTCACATCTAGGAGATGCTCATATTCTTCCAACTGCGCTTGCGTCTGCTCCCGGGTTTGTGCCATTTCTTTCTCTTTTTCAGCCATACGCCTTCGATGGAGATCACGATCATTATTAATCATCTCCTCTAGCTCTTTTATTTTGTTCTCCAAAGCAACATTCTGAAGTGAAGGGGATAGAAAAATCAATTAAACCATAACTGAAAATTAGAGAGGCCAATATTTTGAATTGGGTATTGAAACTAAAATAATTCTAAGGTTATCTAGAGAGAAAGATAGTACCTGGTTTTGATATCCATTAACTTGAGATACCAGAGTTTCAACTCTCAGCTTTGTTTCCATCAGCTCCTCCCGAGCAGTATTGGCAGCGTCGCTGCTTTTTGCTGCATTGAGCTGGACACTCTCCACCTGTGGACAATTCACTGTTAGTAATGAGTTGCTTATGACCACATATTTTAAATAAGGAAGGAAAGCCAAGTGATTTCCAGCTGTTACATCTGGAAATAGTTATGTTTTACTTAAGTGTGCAGACACCACCGAAGTCCAGGTCAGAAGTTTTCTCATTGCTTTTCAGGGAGGCTTACACAAGTTTGACATTGGTGTCAGAAGTCGTCAGCAGTAATTGGGTAGTGAAGATTGCTGGATTAGGATATTGCACTTACAGATGCATGAAGACTTTGCATAGGTATTAAGTAAATCAACTCCCCAGAATAGCAATGGAGAATGTCTTTAGAAGCTGCTTGTCAAAGCATGGGGCTACAAGGAATCAGGTGTGCTTACCAAACTGTACTGCTCTTCCCCAAAATTTCTATTACTAAACAGTTCCTGCTTCACTGAGCTATTTCCAGAGCAATTCTGTCTCATGATATTCCAAGAAAGAATAAAGTAGAGCCATGCTCCTACAAGAGGTACTTGCAGAAATTCCAGTGGAAGCCTGGACAGAAGCATCCAAAGGAATTCACTGAGCTGGCACATAAATTGGAAGCCAGAAGAACCAAGAAGCAGTCCTTGTTGAAAGCAGTAGCTAATCATGTGTTTCTGCATGGAGTATTAAAGGCTGAAGTTATCAATACTGTACACTGCAGCCAACCCAGAAACCCCAGGGATCTTAGGAGTATAAGCCTGAAGTATTACTTTTTCCAGCCTATGTGGCTGATGCTGGGAAAGGGGACAGGCCAGTTCTGGAAGACAAACTGTCAAGCTACTTCCAGAGCCACCCTCTGCCCTTTATCCAGTAAGAGCAATTGGGAAGGGGCATCTGCACTGCTACACATAAAAACGTTCTTGTACAACTGTAAGAATATCTTGTTTCATGCATTTTAGTAAATCCATAATTAGTAGATCAAGTTCTATTCAAGAATACTGAAGTCACTTACTGCAAACACAGTACACCTTGGTCCTGAGTTTGCCAGACAAGCTCTCAGATTTGTCAGAAGTCTGAATTATCATCAACTTTATTACATTAGCCATTCCTAACCACTCCTCGAAGGGACAGTATTTATGCTTGAACCAGTTTTGTACAGGACAAAGCATTTGTAGAATTTATTATCCAATTTGATACTGCTTTGACATTCTGTAACAACTCATGCCAAGCAGCTCTGCACTGAATGCAAGAGCTGCATCGGTCACCGATTTATGTTAGTGTGACTTTAGTCATGCCAGGATGCGGTGAACTTAAGCTTTGTTTTATTGGCATCTTCCACAGACTCACTTTTGCAGTGTATGTTCGCTCCAGCTCTTCTTTGTATCCTTGAATTTGTTCTTCATGTTGTTCTCTGAGCCCCTGCAGAGCATCTGAGAGCTTACTCTCATATTCTTTCAGACGGCCAGTTTCTATTTCTGCTATCCTGCTCTCATGGACTCGCTTTGTCTCCTTGAGCTCCTGGGAGAAGAAAATTCTCAGAATGAGCAAGCCAATACAGTTTGATATGAGACTGGACTTACTGTGCCAGCTTAACAAGTCACTCGGTAGCGAAACAGATTTATCACTGAGTGCACGGTAATTCATCTTTATTCAGGTCTTAGACGTTCATCCATTAGGTCAGGTACTTTCACTGTGCTGGGTGCTTGTGCTACCTCACAGCCAGCATTGCTTAAACTAATAAATGCAGCAGCTTGTATTTAATTTTAAAGACTAATCCTTTGAACTAGATGGATTTCTCTGCTTTGCTTTACTTGGAGCACATGCATGTACACTCCCATTTCTTTAAGCACTGTTACTTCACCTATTCTTGTTTTATTAAAAAAGTAATAGCAGTTGGTTAGAAAAATTGGACTTCTCCATCAATTAAACCACACACTTTGAGATTCCTTCCAGTCAGAAGGAAGTTGGTTTACATTCACGTGTGTTTTAGTTCTATGTACTGACTTCTCACACAAAGGTTACCAGACACCTTTGCTAAGTCTTAAGGAAGTTGGGAACATAAGTTGCTTATTAAAGGAGATTTAACTTCTTCACTTACTTTAGGCTTCTAGCAAAGACCTGGAATCATTTAACTGCAATATATGCCCTTTCAGTTACACAAAGTAGTATGTTGGGATTGTAGTTACCTTCAGAACTGCAGCCTGAGAAAATTATCTCCTATTCCAGATACCTATTAGCACTATGCCAGTTAACACAAGGTTGTTTACTCTTTTGAAGTATTCCTGGTCAGGTGGACTGTCATAGGTTGACTCAGCTAGTTACCTTTTCAAGGATAAAGCACATCTTAACATTGCTTTTAAGAGCATCCAGGGATCATGGACACCTAAAAAGAAATCCTTGTTAATAAGCTAAAACATACATCTTCATGAAGGCACTTCTGGAACATCATTTGTTCCTGCACAGTTTTTAAATGATTTTCCAGGTCCACCCTTCTCAACATTTCATTCTGGAGATGCTTTTTGGTATCTTCCAGTTTCAGCTGCAGCTAGAAGAGACAGACATCAGTGCAATCAAAATTAAGAGGTCATTTTTCCAAACTAAGCAGTCAGCATATTACAGGTCATTCAACTTCATTCCCACAGCAATCAAAACACACTGTTTAAGTCAAGTTGGTTACCCTTAAGTTCTTATTTCAGTGGAATCCAGCATATTAGCAACAGAAAGAATCCTAGTTAATTGTTACGTAGGGCCAGGTTTCCCACAAGGCAAATACAGAACAGCCCTAATCCCACTAGCAAAGCCTGACTCCTCAAAGTAGACTTCTGATGAATCAATCGTACCATCATACACATTGCTCCCCTTCACAACACTAAGTATTCCAAACTTCTCCCTAACTTCCCAGATCATTTATTTGATGCGTAACAAGTGAAATCCTTCAAATATAGCCTAACTATGCTGTCAAACTATTAAACACTTCCAGTGTTGGAGTGTGCTGGTTTAATGATACAAATTTGCTTGGAGGTGGGTTTTTTTTTTTTAACATTTTGATCCAAAAGATTTGAAATAAGCTTATTCAGTGATCACATTAAAAGCATGAAGATACAAAAGCTATGCTCTCAGAAATGCAATGACAGAGTAGCAACTTGAGCAGAGTTTGTTTTAGTAGCACAACAGCCTAGAAAAAAAGTAGTCAGAATTTATTTATTCTACGTAGGTTGAAGCATAGTGAAGCAGGGTCCAAGCGATCCCTTTGATGACAAGTTGAAGAGTGTTACAGAGGCTATAGCAGTACAACACACCTCAACTTGCTTTGTTCTTAAAACAAGAAGTACTAGATATCATGGTCATAGACTAGAATTAAAGGTACCTACAACAGGCAGAAGTTTTAACAGACCAACTATCAGTAGCATCTGCTTTCGGCAAGGCTGCAGAAATCTTTTTGTCCACCTATCATTGCCATAGATAACATTCTTTCCCTGCTTTTACATCTCAGTAGCTAGTTGTGGAGTGAGGGGAAACAAGCAAAAGCTTCCTGAAGAAAAGCAAGGTTGAGATTCCAAGAACAAGTCTTACAGTGACTACTTGATCCTTTAATTCACGGAGGTCGTTCTCCAAAGTTCGGTTCTCATTCAAAGCTGTTGCTAAGTCCGCTTCCTTTGCGTACAGCTGAGCATCAAGGTCTCTCATGCGGGCCTGTGCCAGGTTTAGATCTGCTTCTTTTTTTGAATTCCTGCAAGGGAAAGTTTTACATTCCTAAGTCACGGCTGGGGAGGGAGAAAGTTTTCAATGTGTTTACCTTCACAAGGGGTCCCTGGCAGAAGCGAAAGAGCAGTGAGGTTAGGTAACACTAGCGTTGAGAGCGCAGGGCCGGCTGTAAAACAAACCAGCCAGGCCCCTCGACAAACATCATTTGTTTAACCAGAAACATTTCTGACCCAGTTTCCAGCTCGTTCTGTGCAAATCCTATGCGGAAGCCAGCTATTTTCCATGGCATTACCACCCGGAGAGGGAAGGGACAGCACAGGCCACTGTCTCCACAGGGAGGGAACCAGTCAGCTCAGCACCACAGCGACC